TTTTGTGTTCCAGACACTCTGCTGTTCTTCTTCTTTTATGTTCCAGACACTCTGCTGTTCTCCTTCTTTTATGTTCCAATAAAATGGCTGCTGTTCCTCATTTTTTATATTCTATTGATAGAAACTAGTTGCTGCTTTTTTTCATATTCCAGAAAAGTCGTTAATGATTTTTAAATGATCAAATTTTATCTAAATATATATCTGTTATATATATAGAAAATACATATATAGATTGATACGAATACCTTTAATAAAAAGAATATTTAAATTCTGTTATCTGTAGTCCATATTTTTGTTATTGCTTCGGAACAAAACCAGAATATCGATGATCTAGATACGATTTAGAAAGGACGAAAAGAGAACAAACGTCTATTTTTCCGGATAATATATAAAGATTTATAAAAATTCCCTCTTCTATTTTCCTGTTATTAAATTGGTTCGCGATAGAGAAACGTAAATGCGATTTTTCTTTTGCCAGTTACGCGACGTCGCGTCGCTTCATTAAAGTGTAATTAACAAGTGATGGAATTAGCTAGCGATGCGAAAAATCGCGTCGCTTCGTCGTAGCGTGAAAAGTCAATTGCTTTTTGAAGAGTGATGACAGAATCGTATCGCTTCGGCGCATTGCTTAATCACGATGAGAGATAGAATGTAATCTATTGAAACGATAAAGAAACGCGTAAATCGTATCGCTTTGTCATTTTTCTTTTTATGTAAGCATTGAAGCGACGCGATTTATGAATCGCGTCGTTTCATCATATGCGAGAACACGCGAGAAATAAAAATAATAAACGAAATGTACAGTACAATACACTACAGTACTTGAGATGAGACAAGTGAGAAAGTGACACGATTCTCGCGTCGCTTCGTCGTTGTATCGTTGATACAATACCTTTTGATTATTCCTTCGATTCCAGCGACGCGAGAATCGTATCGCGTCGTCATCCATTCTAAACTGTATACGAGGGAAATTTATTCTAATAAGGCGATTTAATTTTGTATTCTTTTATGCTAAAGGGTTTAGCATTAATTATCTGATAAGTTTTAAAATTAAATATAATTATAATTTGAATAAATAAGAAGAAAACTGAAATATATATTAAACTCGTGCGAGATTTTAAAATAAAATCTTGTAACATAATTTTAAAGTCGAGTTACACGTAAATTTTAAGCTTAAAAGATTTCTAAATAATACATAAATATTTTTTCCTAGTTTACTTTTATACCAAGCGCCATATTTAATAGATTTTTAAAAAAAATATAAACTGCAACTATTATAATAAAATATCGCCATATTGGTTCGGACAATCTCTAAAGTTTAACGAAAAAATAATTAATTTAAAATTTAAAAATTAAACCGTTATAATTCCCGTTAAATTAGTTTTTAAAATGTTAATTTAACGATTGTTGTAACGATTTTTTTTTTTAAATTTCAAATTCAAACATCGTAACAGAACATCTGACAAGTTTATGACACCTGTGGCTGTTTTCTGACAATAACTTATGAGTTACGATGCTTGTTGCACGATGGTATATGCATAACGAAATTTTCCCATTACTTATATCCCATGGTGCATCTGGAATGGTATCTTATAAGCCAATCAGATTACAGTTTACAAATTTTTGACAGGTCACTTCTCCAAGTTACATTAGTTTGGGGTTTTTAAATAATACGTTCAATTATTTTCAAAATTATCTTATTGTTTATAAATTAGACCTTCATATAATTTGATTTTTAAAATATATATAATAAATAATTATTTATTTAATCAATAAAATGACTCCGGAAGTTGAGTTTTAGTGGATCTGATCTTGTGTATTGCATTCTTTAGAGGTTAGTAATTCTAAAACTGGGAAGCCTATAGGTATATTTATGCCAATTTTTAATATTTAATTAATATATTAAGAATCTATTACGTGCAAATTATCTGTTATAATGTAACAAAGAAGTTTACTGAGATCAGTAGAGGTGGGTTGTGACTCTCCAAGTCACATTCTCTACTCTTCAATATAAATGCCAATGTCGTCAACCTGAAAAATGTGTTTTGCAAAATAACTTGTGGTGGATTTATATCTCCTGTGGATTTCACTTGTTACATATTTTTGAACGAATAACATGTTTTTTTTATTTGGTTTTAAAGACTTTTACAAGAAACTAACTGTAAAATTCTCATATTTTATTCATCTATAGTCCTGTAATAGTCACTCATTTTATTGTTTATATTGTTATATACGGGGATTCTTATATAGTGAATGAGAATTCGGTATATCGAGAATCCACTGTACTTATTATCTGTGAAAGTTACTCCGTTTCTTCATTAACGTATAGAGAAACACTAATAAGTGACTTTAAAAATGAATTTTTATAAGGCTCGTGTTACATGGAGTCATTTCCTCAATAGGAAAATTAAATAAGGAAATAGATAAAAACGCTTGTCATTGGTAGAGAAAACAAGTATATAAGTATAAAGCAGTTGAAGAGGAAAATATTGAAAACTTTTCTTTTTATAAGAATTAAATTTCTTGAATTTCTGGTTCGACGTTGTACGAATAATTTAGAAAAAAAATATCTTTTTTACATGCTAATAATTGAAGATAATCATATTTTAATGTGTTTTTTAAATAAAATAAATGATAAAAAAACGTGATTAATAGAACAAAAAATTCACGCAAATTAGGGTTATCTATCAATAAATTCTCTTGTTTATTACATATAAATCAATGGACACGAGTCAAAATGAGTTCTGAAACAAGAGTTCGTATCGATTATTGGTTATTGATGGACACTTAAACAAGACTCCTGAACATCCAAGAATCAAAGTCATCAAGAGTGTAGTTCTTCTGATTCTTGTTCAACTCAAGAACCACAGTTAAATGAGCTTAAATCTATTCCTAGACAGTACAAAATGAATCTTTATTCCAATGAATTATGAGAGATCCTGAATATAGGCCCTATAAATACTCATTTTGAATCTTCCTTTTTATCTTTATGTGAATTTATATCACTCACTGCACTGTTTACACACAGATCTGGATCTAGTAAATATGCCTAAATCATATCTCAAAACTATAAGAAAAAGTGTTCCTTTGAAAGAAAACTGCAACGAAGTATTTCTTAAATTATGTTATAATGATATGATTAGTAAATTATTATACGCTATATAAATGATTCAGACGAGATAAGAGGCCCCATTTTAGAGAATTACGATGCTTATGAAGAGATTCAAACACATTAGACTGGTTTATTTTCAAGTTTTTAACCTTTTCAAAGAGTAACCTTCTGGAAAAAAAATGGAATTACTTAATAGGAAATGAGTGAATCTTATAAAATTTTACATATTTTAAACGTTAAAATGTTTTAAAAAATGAGTTAAACTCCTTAGCTTTGAGTTTAAACAATGCAATGGACGACCCTCTGATGAATTTTATGAAGATCTAGCATTGAAACGACAGGAAAAAGATCTTTATGACATATTTATAGGCAAGTTAAACAAACCGAGATAGTGAAGAGTAGTTCGTGACAATTTAGCATTAACGGGATCCTTTTCATGCAGTAGTGCTCGGCGTCCTTGCCCCAGTTCCGTTGCAACCCTCCCTTACTGGCCGCTCAACTTTTTCTACATCTCAAATTTTTGTTACAGAATGTTAAAAACCGTGTTAAATACACACTTAAGAAAAAAATTTCGAAGAATTTACATGTCTCTTCGAGTATCAACCGAAGTGCAACGATCTCTTCCACGAGAGAGGGAGGGGGGTTGAAAATTAAGAAAGAAAATGCCATCCAACGAGTCTAGAATTACTATAAAACGGAATAACATTGAAGAAAAGATCGTGAGTTTAAAGAAAGAACAATACTCGGGGGGAAGCGAGTGGATAAGAACTGTGATTAGCAACTTAATGCAACCGATTTACGAGTTGGAGAAACGATGCCATTTCTCACGAATGCAAAAATAAATGGCGTCGTGAGTAAATGACAGCCATTGTCCAGCAATTAGCTAGAAACTGGGCCTTTCTTTAAACAACCAAAAACGGGCTTGTTGGTCTTCTAAGGAGAGGTCAGTGAACGTATACAAAATGAGCCCCCTTTCCATAATTCGTTCTGGCCGTGACGTCAGCCATATTATCATCAATTAGAACGTAGTTTGTTCCGTTTATCAACGATACGCACATGTTATTATTATTAATCTGGATACCAAAAGTAATTATAAATCGATGTAATGTTAACTTTATAACTTAATTTATTTATAAAAAAAAAATGTAACCTTTAAAATGAGCCTTCTTTGTTATAACCAATTAGTCGAATCGTGCTTAAAATTTTCCCATGACGTAATTTAAATAAACCAATTACATATTCGCAATTCAAATTTCAAATTGGGTTGCGTTAGCGTCCTTTTTTTTTTTTTTTTAAATGTAAAGAGGTTACGAATCGATTTTTCTTCTTCTTCTGATGAACTTTCATTCAATTAAAAATAATAGTAAATAAAAAGTTTCGAGTTTTCATCAGAATGGAGATTCCTTTCAAACTATCTCCGGAAAAACTTATGGAAAAGAAATTCCGTCGTCGAGAGATCATTTCCGAAACGGAAATTAGAACGGAAATTCTTTGTGAAATATGTAAACGTAAAAAATAAAGGAAAATCCGCCTTTCTCTTTCAACGTGTAAAAATCTTAACAGACGATCATTTAATTCAATAACGACACGCGACATCTAGCGTTCGAAACTAAAAACAATTTTTTTTTTTAAATTTACTCTTTTCATTATTATTTAAAAATATCATTTCTATCGTTAATTAAAATAAATAAATAAAAGAAAAAACTTATTACTCGAAATTACATAATCGTTTTGAATTAAAATTAATAAATATGAATACTCCGAATCACGTGTTAAAATAAATTTATTAAATTACATTAACAGTTAAACTAATTTTAAAATATTGTTTATAATTTAAATCTAAATATTAATATGTTATTAATTTAGAAATTTTTATTAATATAGAAGAATGAGAATTAATTTTATTTTAAATCTGTAACGTGATTCATTTATAATCCAATTAGGTGAGGATCTTATTTAAATTTTGAATTTGAATTTAAATTTACGAATTACATTTTAAAATCTATGTTTAACGTAAATAAAATTAATTAAAAACAGTAGATAAGTTGTTGAATGGAGATGTGAAGAAACATAGAATGAATAAGATACTTAATATGCTGTAGTACTCGATGGAAGGAAGAGGAAGAGGAGATTTAAAACACTACTAAGTTACATTGACGAGAGGTTTGTATGAGATCGAACGAACAGAATTTGTAAAATATCACCTAAACTGGAGCTAATTTTCTGTTTATATTTTATAAAATTCATATTTAGATCCATCTTCTATATAAGAAGGAAAGGCAGATATAAATGTCACATATTCGTTAAATTCTTATATAAAGTAATATAATTATCCTTTAATTTTTGGTAAATTAAAATTCTTTACTACAAAACTTACTGACAAAAGGAAAATATACAGAACATCAATTTATTCTACAAAGGATTTTCAGATATTGATCACAGACTTAAAAATGATCACTATAAAGAGAAATGAATCGTTATTAAATATATTACTTCCTAAAAGAAATTCGTTCAAATTTCGAATTTACAAAAAAGTATTTTATTTGATATTTTCTCCGGAAAAAAAATTAATTAAAATTTTAATTATAGAATATCAATTTATTTATATTAATCACAAAATTTACAAATACAGATGTATAACCAATTACAGTGCTTGATTCAAATATTTGAATTCGTAACGGAATTTGACGTTTGAAACGAGAACGGAACGTAGTAAAAATTTTATAATTACCCAAGGCGATGCGAATCGATCGAGGTTCGAATACCGTTTGAGTTAAAGGTCAAGGGCGAAAATAATCGTCGAAGAGTAAATAAAAATAATTAAAAAAAGAAGAAAAGTCTCAATTCCATCTGACATTAAATATCAGAGGTGAAATGTGCAATCTTCTGTTGCTAAGATACCAAAATGTCGATCGTTTAAACCTGTTTCGATCTCTTACATTTAATTCGAGAGAATTTCAACATCAAATTGGCGAAAACAGGCTTAAAAAGACAATTAAAATTCCAACGCTGATCCGATTTACCCCGGATTTTCCTTAAAGATTTATTCACTTTTTCTAAAATAATCATTTTTTATTTATTTTATTTTATTTTACACTTTATTTTACAAATTCAAATAAGAGGTGGAGAGAAAAGGTGTGTAAAAAAGCTGTAAATGTAAATCTCGAGAAGTTTTTATAGTTTTTATGTACGTACCAATTGGTAAGCTAATAAAATTTCTATCTTTTTAGACCATTTTCTGACGTCACCAATCAATATCCGAAATAGAGATGGACTGACGTCCGAAATGACGTCATTTGTCTGTGTTTTGATTACATATACAATTTAGGAAATTATAACTAATAAAAATTTATGACAAATGCCAATTGGTAAAAAAATAATAGTAATAGTATGATAATAATAAATACAACAATTCTTATCTTTATATTTTTATTCTTAATTTGTATAATTTTATAAATAATATAAATATAGATAATAAAAATATTGGGCACGCAACCATTACATTACGCTATAATAATAATAATAGTAATAAATTGAAAAAAACGGAGAATTATACACTTAAAATTCGAATCTTTTAAACTAGCCAATGAGACATCGAAGAGAAACTTTCAAATTTTTAAAATAACCAATAAAACGCAACATTGAAATCGTGTTCATGCATTATTGGCTCTTGTTTGAAATTTTAAGTATCGTATCGACATTATTGGTTAATTAAAAAAATTTAAATTACTTATTTGACGTTATTGGCTAATTCAAAACTGTCATTCTTGTGTCTTATTGGTTATTTCTAAAATTTGTATCTCTAAAATTAATTGGATAGAATATTAAATTTAATAAAATTTGAGTTAAACGCCATTATTACTTAATTTAAATGCTATAATTTGTTATTTAATAAGTGATTTTCCCATTTTTAGTTTTTTTTTTAAATTTTAATTGGGAAACAGATAAGAGGTTTCTGAGATACGAAACAAAATATAGGCTAACACGCATACTCACATACATAAAAAACTGTTGTCCCGTTTACATGTTTTTGAATTTAAGGGATTTTAAAACGTCGGAAATGCAAAAGGAAGTTTAAAATTTGACCGATTACAATACTTTTTCTGTTACTTGAACAGCCGGGAAAATAATATAAATAAATATGGACTGCAGGATAAAGTTACTATGGACAAGTAAGCTAAAGAACATTTTCTTTCGAGGAAAATCCCAGCATAAAGTAAACCGCTAAAGAAGATTTTCATTAAATTTTTAACAGAAAAATAGTCGCATAGTATGTTTAAATATATTTTTCATCCTACCATTGGTATTGTAATTGGGCTATAATTTGAAAAAATTATATATCTATAAATTTCCACTGTCCTCCCGCCCGTCCGTCTGTCTTTCCTTAATCTAGAGAACAGAATTAGATGAAATCCAATACCAGATATGGAAACCTTAGGGAGAGAAAGTCCAGATTAACTGTATACGAACTTCCGATGCAAATCGGAAGTCACGTTATTTTAATTCAAAATCTTCTCCCGAAAGGTGTTAGATAGATGACCGGCACGACTCTATTGATAAAGGAAAAGTATGATGTACAGGGAGGAGCAAGCTACTAGTAATTTGAGGTGGAGAGCACATATTTTAAATTAAATAAATTGGCAGTATGATTAAAAATTGCAACACGGCATTGTGACGATGTCACAATAAATAATTTCTCGTTATATTTAAATACACTATGTACAGTACAGTACTGTAATAATAACACTATACTGTTGTACTGTACAAGTACTATTTAAATATTACTGTACACTGACGCACTTACGGGGGTGATGCGGATTTTGGATCCCAAGAAGTTTTATGGTAGGCTTAATTTTTCTTCATTCTGTTTGTACTTTTTAAATCAGCATCCCTGATCATCCCTCTTGTGGGCTAAGAGCAAAATCTTAGTTAGCCCACTGTTACTGTGTATTACAGTATATAGTCGTATAGTGTATTTAAATATACTTATATTTTTGCAATTATTATAGTTATTGCAGGGCACCTTTTCTCGTTATTCGTTTCAAGAAGTGTGAACATTCCATAGTTACGAGCACCAACTTCAGAAAGGATTCTGTAATTTGCGCTCGTAACTATGGCTTTTCTTATATAAATCTACACGCTCTATCAAATTAGATTTTTACTATTACGTAACTCTCAGTAAGCCGTTTTAAATGATATTTTAACACGGAAGTAATTCATTCACCCCCCCATAAGTTCGAAATGCTAAATGCTTTCATTAATTAACGATACAAATTTTTGTTTAGAAAGATACAACTCGATTTGAAACAATCATTTTCTATAGAATAATTTTCGAACATTGACTCTGTCGTGCTCGCTATTTTTGGTCAAAACAGACACGGTAACCTAGCAACCGTAACCACGGTAACGGTTAAAAATAGCCTCCCCTGATGAAATTTAGTTTTGGTCAATTTTAAATTTGATCATTATCTTACTTAATGGCCGAGACTTAACTAAAATTAATCGAAAATTCTAAAAAAGTAGCATCAGAGTCGTGGATGAAGTCACGACTACTAGCGAGAGCGCTACTTCCGCTCATTGCCACCGTCACTTCCGGAATAATCACCGATCGATGACGTCATCTCCCGAAGCGCTTCTTTCGCAGAACGGAAATAAGTCACGACAGCTGGCGGTTATTTCTAGAAGTATATCATAGTTTTTTTTTTTCACTTTTGTGGCTTGTAAAGATACACAATTTTTTTCAAATACTAATCATTAATAATGTTCAATCAAAAATATTCCCAATTAATTAATTAAATAAGAGTTTAATTATATTTAAAATATTTTACAAAGACTTAATTCACAAAATTGCATTCGAAGATTTTAGTTTTGTTATTTATGAAGAAAATAGAGCATTTTTGGTTGGATGACAACCAAATATCTATTACACTCGGATAATACTTATTTCACTCATCCAAGTGAAGTAACTGTCTAGATGATGTTATTGTGACATATTGTTGCTTGTCATCTTGCGGTTTCTTTTATACATTGGACATATTTTATTTTCAATCGGACAAAATATTATTGAATTTAACTATATTCGGGTTAACTAAATTGAGTATAGAATGTTGTTCAAACTGTGTTACAGTTGATTTCACGAATAAATATTCTATATTCTCGTGACGATTCAGTTCGAATTCCCTGTATCGTCCTAATTTATTACAGTAATTAGATCAAGTCAAATATGAATGTAATGAACAAAATTGAAGCCTGTCATCTTAAATTCTGAGAAGTTTTTTGCCATAAACTCAATTCAAATTTTCTTTCTTTTTTCAGTAAACTTCATTTTAACTCTGTCTCGATAGATCGTCGTTGCAATTTCTACACAACATTTCATCCAAATCTTAATAGTTGCAGGAAAGAAAATAGATAATAATATTTACGTTACTTCAAATAAAATACAACTAAAATACAGGGGAAAAAANATTAATCCATTCTCAAATTCCCATAAAATTTATTAATTTTATTAAACATTTTTACACTGGGCACAATCCTAAGATTTTTACATTTAATCCCATTCAACTTAATAAAATATAAAATTGCGATAAAGTCCAAATATTTTTTTGCTTTAAACGCATTAATTGGCAAAGAAAGAAAAAAAAACACACACACACACACACACACAAACACACACAAAAAAATTAGATTTTAAAGCATAAAAGTCGCATTTGGCGTCACAGACGACGTTAAGGAAGTGCGCTGACGTCACTACCAAGGTCGATTGTTTTCAAGATGGCGGTCAATCGAAGAAATATCAATAAAAATAAATTCATTTATGTAGCCAAGCACTAAAAATATTCTTATTGAAAAATGTGTATATTTATAACTTTATATATATATTCAATTGGAAAGTATATCAATCGGAATTTTACTTTGTATATGTATATATTAAGTTATATATATATATATATATATATGCCTAATGTAGACATTGAACTTCAACAAGATTTCGATGAAAAGATGGCAAACAAAGCTTAATGTAGGCTGTTTGCACTTCAATAATATTTCAAAAGTTTAAAATTAACATTAAAGGAGATCTCGTGGATAAATTTAGACCTTTCTTCTAGAATTTTATCTTACAAAAAGTTCTAGAACAACGATCTAAAGTAAACGGCGGATTATACTAAGCGCGTGGGGCCTGAAAAATTACTCAGCAAAAAGATAATATGTCTCTAAAAATTTATTATTAAATTACGATAAACTTATCGACCAATTTGAAGACGTTAAAGGTAACATTGTAAGTAATAATACCAACTTAATAAAGAAAAACTTATTATTATTTAAGAAATTTATTTATTTCTTTTGTATAAAAAACACTTACGTAAAGGGCCTTATAATAAGATTGCGTCTAGGGTCACGAAGGAGCGTCATCCGCCACAAAGTGTGACATTACTAACACAAGTACAATTACGAGTACTATTCTTTTCTTCTATCATCCAGACACTAAGAAATGCCTGACTGGTTGATAAAACTAAATCATTCGTTTTAAATTATAGAAAATCACAATTAAAATGATTGGTAATAGAGAAGTTGCGGCCGAAGTTTTCATCTCTAAAACGTAAACGTCGAACGTTGAGCGCCGCCATCTTGTAAGTCTAGAAGTTTGACGATGGCGTTTGGAACGTTGATCATGATTCCAACGACGTTCCAAACGCCATCGTCAAACTTATAGGCTTACAAGATGGCGGCGCTCAACGTTCACGTTTTAGAGATGACAACTTCGGCCGCAATCTCTCTAATATCGAGTAAAATCTTCATTATGTCCAGAAAAAACACCCAAATGTTTTCGCATTTCTCTATGTTTCGAGGTACCCCCGAGTCCAAAATTGAATCTTGTGGTATTATTTTTTAACCGATGGCCATAGACCTACTACATAACAGCTCGGAAAGTAATAATAATAGGTTTTATTTAAACACAACCCGAAGGTCCTACTTTACGGAGAATCTAGTTTGGCATATTCTAAACTCGCTATAGGGAAAAATACTTTGATTTTTTTTATTTCACGACTTTATGACTTTTGTTAAACACATTTCTCATTAATTCAGATTTCGTCACTTTGATGGATTTTACGTTATGAAAGTACACGAGGAAATTTCCAGGTAAAAAAATATAAAAATGTTTGTTTTTGAGGAGGTCCAGACCATAAAAGTTACATTATAATAATCATAAACCTTTTATTAATAAAAGGTAAAAATTGATATTTTGAATTTTATAAAGTGTAGTATTATAGACTATTATTATTATTATCATTAATTAACGTATCATACAGATTGCATTTTGGTGAGATTAAGTATATATTTCTATAAATTTTAGTAAATATAACAATAAAAAATCTGGCGACATTGTTTCTAGACTTTCCTGGCATCTTCTATTTATTTTCATCCTTAATAATTACTTTTATATTGGTTCGGGTGATATTAAGGAAGTAGGGTCATATCTCTCGAGCCAAAGGTCCTATTTTCCTGAAAATTTCCAGAAAAATTGTCACCTAATACACAAAACTCCCTGGAAGATTTCGGAAAATTTCGACAAAAGGCAGAGGAGTTATTAAGCTTTAAAGTAGGTAAACAAAATCAAGAAAAACACACACTTTGATAACATTTCTCGACTTTTCAAGGTCAAAAATGTAAAAATATTAGGAGGGGGGTCATTTTTTTTACCTTTCTCTATATTTTCCCTCCGTTATGTAACTGCAGAGAGAATAAAAAGTAAGTTTTGGAAATGTAAATGTTTGTTCTGGACCTTTTAATTTATATTCTTAGATGGGATTGTTAAATATTATCGCAGAATTTTAATTTAAAGAATTGAAGGAGAGTAAAAATATAATAATAAAATGAAAGGATCGATGCGATTTGTTAAACGTTTAGTAGCGCTTGACTTCTGGCGTGTCTTTCGTTCACGTTCTCGTAGTAATTACGTGGACGGCACGTTCTAGATCGCGTGGGATTATAGAGATGTAATAGACACTAGAATCGCGCGCTGCTTGTATTCGTCGTAATACGTATGACGTAAGATGATAAATTTTGAATTTGAAACCGTTAATAATGTATGCTCTATGACAATTGAAATGCCGAATTTTTAATTTTAAATATAATAAAAACCTATATACCTGCCATATACTTAGTTTTACGCTTTATTACTTGCATATTATACTTAATTTGTATATTATAAATTTTTCCGAAGGAAACGTATAAATTCACATATTCTAGAACAGACTATTTATAGAGTGCAGGCCCACACGAAAAATAAAATTTCCTACGTACAGTACAATAAATTACAATTGTTAATTTAATATTAGCTAATTTAAGGGGGATAAAATACAGTAAAACATGTACAAAATGGAACCTGCCTAAATGGGAACGGAGCGATTTTCTACGTTAAAAACCTGTTAAGAACGGACACCTGGCAAACCGGAAGAACGTGCGGTTCCGGCTTAAGCAGGTTTCACTGTATTTGATAAAAAACGATAGCGTTTTAATTATTATATTTCTCAAATTACTAACACTTTAACACCTTTTAAAAAGCAGAATAATATTCTAGTCATAAAATAAAACTTGGAATGACTTTAAAACTATAAAAATTTTATGATGTTATATTATATGACGAAAGAGTGACGCAAGAGAAGCATCGGTGTCGATGACGTCAGATGTAAATTATTAAAAAAAAAACGCTTTTAATCCAATGGAACGTGGGATCCTCTAATTCACATAATCGACCCTACGCCGTTACTTGTTACACCTAGAAAATTTAAATAGATAAATTACGGATAACTTTCTTACTCCGTTCTTGAGTTATTAATTGTTCTGGGTTATATTTAGACTTCTTACTCCTCTTTTAATAACTAAAACTGTTCTATATATGGATTCGGTGTGACGGCGGATAGATTCTGTATACAATGCGTGACGTCATGCCCGGAGCAGAGATAATCATTACCGGTCACTTCGCCTCTAAAATTCGATAGAAGCACACCCACACGCGGTTTGGGAGGAGTAAATTTGCTTGGAGCTTATTTCAAACCTCGCCCCGACGGCAAATTTCCAGTCGATTTTCGGTCTCCTGTTTATCTGTTTAACAAAACTGTAACAAGAGAAACAAAAAAAAAAAAACAAATTGTCACCTTCGATTTATTGGTACTAACAATGGTCATGTTTAGCCGTAATTTAAGTTTTTCTTTTTTTTTTTAAACCGTTGAGTGGCCCAAAAGTCAGTTAACAGTGTTTTTGTGTGTCGTGTTTTAACGGTGAACTGAGTTTTGGGTCAATCTGTATTCGAATGTAATACAGTCGACCCCCCCTATAACACTGTTGATTTTTCTGTTTTATATGAATTCCATGTTGTACGAGTCACTTAGGTTTTACGAATACGTAAGCCGTTCACAGCTCGGCACACGTATTTGTAAAATCTAAGTGACTCGTATAACATGGAATTCATATAAAACGGAATTATCAACAGTGTTATAGGGGGGTCGACTGTTATTTTGAAATGTGTATTAATTTGGTTAATTGGGTTTATGGGGGTACTCATCCGTCAAAAACCTAACAATATACTACGATATTTGAATACAAATAACTTTCTTTTTAATTAATAAATGGATTAATGGCTATAGAACACAGGTACTGTACAGTACGTACTGTACGTGCATAAATGTAAATTTTGTTTACCGTATTATATAAGGTAACAATCTAAAGTGATTATAAAACACAGATAATAAGCCTTAATGTTTAACAATTTACTATTTTAAAATAAAGATAAAGCTCTCTCGTAACATCTGTAATTGGATTCTGAATGAAAAAAAAGCTGTTATGTGCAATAATAATAATAATAATAATAATAATGTGTTTTGTTCATTTCATCTAACTTTTAAAATTATATACAGGGATGCCAAAAGTCAGTTAACCGAGTTGTGTTGGTTCCGGGTACACTCGTGAATATGAATATAAGCTGAGTTTATAACAACTCGGCGAAAACAATAATATAGTTAAGTACTTTTGGTTAACTGACTTTTGAGTCAGAAATATAATGTAATTAGAATCAATATTAATTAAAATATTTTCTGTTTAATATAGGCTAACTACTACTGACGATAAGATTTATTAAGATTCATTAAGATTCAAGAGGATCTAAATGATGATTGGTTAAAAATATGTTTGGCTTAACAAAGATTGGTTAAAATTCAAAAAATGGGAACCGCCTATATACAATCTTTCATCCAATTATGAGTCGAGATAACCTATTTAGCTTTAATATCATACAACGTTTGAAATTCTAACGTTTCTTTGAAGGGTTAATTAATTAATACATTTATGTGGATATTATTTACTTAATTTTCGTTTACTTTTTCATATTTAAAGGCCATTAGACACCATAAGACAGATGTAATTATAAATGAAGATACTTCATTACCTCATTCAGCTAGATTTTTAATGCCAAAGACTTACTTTTGACCCCATTATCGCATTTATAAATGAAATTATAGGCCTCTGCAGAATCCTAGTTGTCGGGGATGTAACCTAACAATTAAACGCAAAGAGTACTTTGACCTAGTTATATTTTAGGGGTAACATCTCCGTTACATCTCTTCCCATTAAAATGTTTTAAAATAGAATTCAAAATCGAATTAATAACTTATTATAAATATACAAGCGACCCAGCTTTATTCCAACAATTAATTTTCTCACACGCATAACAATTAGGTCATGACTATGACATTTTATTTACGCAATTACAGGAAGTTAATATCAATAAAGGAAGTTAACAACTTCACCATTCCGCTTACTAATTCATCACCGATTAAAAATAGTGTTCTGATAGAAAAAAAAATTCTCTTCTAACGAGCGAGAATATCGTCTTAAATGCAGGGTGGTCCAAAAGTAGGTTAACCGTGTTTCGTTTTCTTACGTTCCAGATAATCGTATATTCATGCATTTTCTTATGCATGAATATACGATTATCTGGAACGTAATCGTAATATGTCATTTAAATATGTCAAAGTTTACGACTTTACGATAGTTAACTGACTTTTGGGCCTCTCTCTATATTTTGTACAAAACTTTGCCCTTATATACATATATAGGCCTACATTAATAAAGCTTAGTTTTCATTTTAAGAATATCGTTTGAAATACAGTGTCCCAAAACTCGATTAACCACCCTGTTTCGCGTGTTATAGGACTTTTAAGGATATAAATCGTAAACTGGGTTTATTTAAATACGGAACGAAGCCTATTTAGTCTGTATTGGTTAACGGACTTTTGAACCATCCTATATATTTATATAGTTTTACTCAGTTATAAAGTGTTTCTCCGAGTGAAACTCCATATATATTTTTTTATAATAAATGGTGCAATTTTTCATGTAAATGCCAAATACAGACACATTGGAAACAGAAAAGTTTTATGAGGTTTTAAATTATTCTCAGAAAAATGACTCATTCCACGAAGTGGGAAAAAATTCGCAGATCAAATTTCGATTTTCTTTAAAGTGAATTTATAAAAAGTTACATTTCCCCCACCCCCTGTATAACGTGGAATTGATAGATCAAAAAGGGGGGGGGGCAATTCGGCATTGCTTTAACACGTAAGAAAAGATTTAACTTTTCTATTTCTTCCATTAATTTTAACTTTCGCCATATTTTAAAATGGCATCACTTCGCTTCAACGTAAGATTTATGGGTATAAGTTCTGCGTAAGTTGTATATAACGGAAGATAATATAATTCGTAGAAAAGAATGAAATTTCTTAATTACTTTCTAACTCTGGGCACTAAGACAAGCCCATTATGTTTTTAACAAGCCCATTATGGGTTCGGCCAGACCAACAACGGGAGACCTGTTGGTGGGGAATGGGACCCGACATGTCCGGATGGATTACCACTGGCGCGTTATCCTATGGGCAAAAAGGATAAGCCTGCAGCCCCCACTAACAGGGGACCAAATCAATTTTTTATAAATTCATCACTATACTAAGAATATAGAAGTTTAAATTTAGGCCCTATCTGCGGATCCTAGATTCCCGGTGTGGGGTGCACTGACACAGCGCAGAGATCGCGTTAAAAAACGAAAGAGAATACTGGGGATAATTTTCCCTAGTATTCTCTTTCTATCCCCAAAATCTCCCGAAGAAAAATGCTTAAAGTCATCACTTAACACGAGGCCCCGTGAATCTTTAACGCGCCATGCGAGTCACCTCTGAAAAAATTCCTGGATACGATCCCGAGTCCTCCAGACCGGTAGACTGCCATCGTACTCAGTAGCCATCTACTAAATAGTATTTTTACATACTGTTCTTAAACCGTTCTCGGTTAGCTGAATTTTGGGCCACCCTATACTTTGATCAATGAAAACTGATATATTTTTATATTTGTTACGTAGAAATGACTATTTCTTAATCTTCCATTTGTTCCTCTTATCATTAATATCTTTAACGACCAATCATTTGGTGTTTAAGAAAGTTTTTAGTGTTTCAGCAGAAAAATTCAGCAAGTGTAACGCTAAATATGCCATATTAACCCATTCCACATGACGTCGTACAGATTAATCTGCATAAGGTTATTCAAGAGAGTTTAATCTCATCTGTATAATTTAACCTGTGGGTATGTAGGACAATTGTACAGTATTTATGAAACAATATTTAACATTTAAGATTCTTCTACTGGGTAATTTTTTAGAATTTATTAGTAAAAAATGTTATCCCCCATACTAGATCAAATGCCCCCTGTACAATGTCCCGGGTATGCCTATTGACTCGTTAAAGTGTAATGGCAACCGATACAATTGGCACAAATTCAAAATCTTATTATGAGGTTTGTGCAAAGATGACAGAACTAATAAAAAAAAATCATTATGCAGGGGGGAACGAGAGGAGGTGTCGGGGAGGCCCATGGTCTTAAGGAGTCGTAGTGAGGCCCTACTAGAACTATGGGATCAAAATTTGTCAGTGGTCCATAATTCATACAGGAGGCTTATAATTTCTCATAAAATGCTTGTTATCGTACGTATACAACTAATATAGATGAAATTTAAAAAAAAAAATCTTTCAAAAATAACACCTTAACCATTCATAAAACGTCTTCCAGACAATTGAGAAATGTTTATCCAATAAGCGTTAAGTTATTATTACTTCAACTTTAGTGTAGCCATTTTTAATTAAGGCAATTTAGAATTACAGAAAGAAGGAATTAAATTATAGAATACAATATCTGTAGACTTTAATACGTAAAAAAGGTTTATTTTTATCATTAAAAAAAAAGAGAGAAATTTCTGAAATGGGGTTAACCAGAGAATTACTACACTGTCAATGTGTTAGCAATGAATGCGAATATTATGTAAACGTTATATCTAGTTCAAATATTTGAATAAAACTCGTACAAGATTTGTACTCCTCTTACACACACATACACACACGTTTGTGGCGTTGATTTTACACATACATACAATGAAGCTAGAGACACAAGGAGTATCGGAGCCACGTTACGACCTGATGATATTTATTAAATTAATTTAATAACTAAACGTGTGTAAAATCCATTTTAATCCACATTAAGGCATCCGAATACGGGAGGTATTCTGCTTAGATTTACCACCCTCTTTCGAGATCTACTTAATCCGGTTTAATTTTTAACAGTGTGATTGACAGATCACTAAGAATTTTAAAGATCGATCGATATAACTGCACGTTTTACATTTGGCACATTTCCGAGTAAACACGGTACGATATTCCGCCGAATAACACGCCAATCGCAAGCCACACTAACTTATCAGCGTTTTACTTAGACCGGATATCCTGTCCTTCCTGTTACGCCTGCCATCTATTGTTAATAACTGTAATTTTAAATACCCGAAAGCAAATTACGCAGCGTTCAAATAGCTTGGTTACGCATTGCGCCATCTGTTGAGAATTATAGTAAATAAAATTTTTTTATTACTGTTTTTCTCTTGTGATTAATAATAAATTTTTAAAATTTATTTTTTAGTCTTTAAAAATTACAGAATTGCGCATTTTATACGCGCAATGGCAATCGGAACGTAAATTAATAAGAGAAATCGAAAACAAACGGGCGATTGTGTTACCAGAATGCATGCAACTTCTAAGGAATTTTAGTGAATAAATTAGGAAATTATTTACGCGTGCATTTAAACAGTCGTAAGTTATTTTAAAATAATTTGAAATGGCACAAAATTACCTTATTAATGGGGGGAAATAAGTATAAATGTAATGACGACATATACAGACCTTTACAGAATTTTCCAGATGCTCTGCTTCCCTGGATGACGGCTTTTCCACTTATCTGCGCAGAAGTGAACGTTTTTTAGCCGGTTACTGCGATGGGTGTCAGCACCGTTGTTGACAAGTATATACTATTGTGACGTAGCGTCCGGGGTCTGCTAGCGAAACGGGTCACGTGATGGGGTTACCGGTTTGCCTCTGCATGCACGTGCAGCATTTTTGTTAATTTATTAATGCAGGGATGCGAGGTTTTAGCGTATGTTTACGCATGCAACGGTTTATTTCGACTGTTTGATGCAAACATCTGTTGCTGCAGTTGCGGCTGGGTTGTTTACACTAGTTTCTGTTGCAAGCGAAACTGTTTGCGAGCGCCATTTTTTAATTGTTTAATGTTAATCTATTAAAATCAAGTGACAGTTTGGAGTTTTGGATTGGTTTATTAATTAATACTGTAGAGCAATTTATGTGCAATTAAATCACACGAAATTCTGATTTACAGCACTGTCTAGGCGATTTACATGGTACTTCATCCTTTGTTATTTTCAATTGTTGCAGTTGAAAGCTAGAATGCAATAGAGATTTAGTTTATTTACGTTAGTGGCTGTTGCATACTAAGCGATTTGTGTGCACCATTTTTAATTAATAAACCATAATCACTATTAAAATAAGGTTTATATTCTGATTTACACGGTTGCAATGGACTCAATAATTGATTTTTAAAGTATTATTTCATTTAAAAGCCATTCAAATTTGCAACAACCATATTGATCCGAGTCCTCCAGTTAGCATTTGCTGCGTGAGATTTATGCAGATATGATGCAAGAAAAATTATTGCACCCATCTTTGCATTAGCAGTTATAAAGATTGCTTAATATGCAACAATTTTCAGACTTACAATTGCTGAAAAGTACAAAAAAGTAGCTCAAATTGTTGCATGTGGCGATGAAAGAAACTGATCATGTTTGCAGCTGCACACATTTTAGCTTCGTATTTGCGAATATCATCGATTATATTCCCCCATTGTTGCAGTCTACGACTTACAAATCAAAGTTTTTGGACATTTAATGCCTATAAAGTAGCTTATTTGCTGCATACGTATGCAAGTTATTGTAAAAATTTTAATTAGCAATCCATTAAATTAATGTTATTTGCAATTAATATGAGTAGGCATTGATGCATGATGCAACCAGCCGTTTCTAACAGCTAATTTACAATTAATTAGATTTAATTCTGTTGCAATAATTACTCATTTTTGTCGATAGAAAAGGAGTAAAAGGATAATTAATATTGTTTGGCTGATCAGCATTAATGATGAAAGTATTAGCAATTAGAATGTTTGAGTTAATTACCTTTAACCAATGTTGTTCGATGATTACCATTAGTTAATGATGTTTATGATGTATGTGAGTTAACATTAAGTAGCTCGTTAATTGATTGGCATTCAACATTTGCCTTCCTTTAGTTAACTTAAAATACAAAAAATGCATAGTTAATTACCATCATCATGAATTAATGCCATTAATTAAAGAACAACAGCAACAATGTTATTAATTTAATTACCGAGTTGCAGGCTAACCATAATTCAATTTTGTAGCTGTTTGTATGCCGCTTCACCATAGACGAAGATCCATTTTCCCACTTCAAAATGCCAATTTTATAGGATTAAAACAAATTAATTGGCGTTAACTCAAAGTTGCAAACGAGTTAATGTCGTTTGAGCCGAAGAACAAATGGCAAAACAGAGACTTAGTAACAGTTGACTATTAACAGTTTATTTCACAAAATACAGCACAAAATATTACAAAAGTTTCGGTAGCAATTTCGTGATCTTTTTGTTTTGTTTTTCCTGTTTCGACAATTTATATGTTCCTGCTATAGAAAATAAAACACCAAAAAAATATAATATATATTAACAAATAAATTCTTCCATAAATCAACAATATCGTTTAATTTCGTCTTGGTTTAGAAGCAATGTACAGCCCAACGTCACGATTCGTAGTAGGAAAAATTTACATAAAAATTTGGCACAGGTACCTTGCGGATTGGCCAAACTCAGATATAGAATGGAATTACAAAACAAATGGATGAAATTTTAACCAAATTGGCTAAAAAGGAATGCATTTCAATACCACGCGCTCCAACCTCTAAAGCAGTGTTTCCCAAACTTATAGGACTACACCCTCTCTCAGCGCGTATTTCAAAATGAATTTTTGCTCCCATTACCCCCTCGAAGTCTTCTACAGCCCTCGAGGGGGAGGCAGGACCCTCTTTGGGAATCACTGTTCTATTGTAACATATTTAATGCTACTGATACACTAGAAACTGATAAAATTAAACCACAAATAAAACAAGATTTTCCTAAGTAGAAATGAACTCTTATAATTTGTAAGATTTATTTGTATTTTGCTAAAACTGCCATGTAATGAAGGTCAAAATGTCATCCAATTACTGCAGAGTAAATGAACAAGTTACACTGTTTGATGAGCTGATCACTTGAATGATCCATTGTCCATGAAAATACTACACAACTGTTGACGTTTGGTGTATTTATTTGTACATTTTGTACATGTCTGCGAGATTGAACATAACTTAAAGAAAATCTGACAGTGAAATGCACATTTTACTATCCTTCAGCAATTAAGTTTGTAAGAAGGAACTCGGCATGCAGTTTCAAATGTTAATTCTAAGCTCGAGTTCAAAACTAAACTTTTGTATCTTAAATTCGAGATCATCAAATTTATTAGGCCTGAAAATAAATTAAAAATTGATGACCTCTGACATTTGTTAAGCTTCAGAATTGACAGGCGGCTGAAGCAGTTAAGGCAGGGGCGGATGTAGGTTTTTCGGGGTCTAGGACTTATTGAAGTCCAATGGGCCAAATTTTTGTTAATAATAATGATAATTTATAGTATTATTTGTATTAATATTAATTATTTCTTACTATATGATAAGTGCTCATTGTTAATGAAAAAGTTTTAAAAATTTATGATGATAATTCAATTTTTGTAGGCCCTCGACATGTAGGGGCCCAGGGCCCTATTAGTCCCTATGTAGATCCGCCCAAGTTAAGGCGATGGTTTTCAACCAGGGTGCTGCAAAATACAGTGCGGATTGATGCTGTAATACTTGTGTGTTTTACTAAAAGTATGAAAAATGCAATAACATAACATTAATAAAGTAAGGGTGCAGGGTGCTTCAATAGAAAAAATTACCAAGCTGGGGTGCGGGTGCCACTAATAGAAAAAGGACCACTGAGTGGGCCTGAAATTGAATCCTAGAGTTCTGGATACATCAGAAACTGTTCCTAACCACCTGGCCAAATCCACAAAGGAACGATAAAAAGCTTCTTAGTAAAGAGAATGTGGACCCACACTAAAATATATTCACTGGGAAAAAAATAAATGGTCTTTGGTGTCATTAATACCGGTGACAGTTTATTTTTCTCACAAAAGAAGAGGCACTTTTATACTCACAAGCTAAAAAGGATAAAGAATCTAGCCTAAGACAGAAACTCAACAGACAATGCTAAATGATGCTCTTGTTGATTTGACATTCCATTCCAACTTATTCTATATAACATTTCTAATATAAATTCATAAAAATACAATTTAATCAATCATAAAACTTCATTAGAAGTTGATCTATAACACATATCTGTTAAACAAATAACATTAAGTTATGTTCATTCTTATGCAATCATAATTTAAAGTTTCAGACAATGATCATCCAAGTGATCAATCCAGTATATCACTTGATCATTTACATGATCAAGTGATATACTTTTAGATATTTTAAATTAGGAAATTAAATTTGCAGCACATAAAAAAGCAAAGACTTTTTTAAAGTCATTTTGTATATTGATGTTTTCAAATTTCTGAAACTTTATCAAGATATCGAACTTTGTTTTTAATCAAAAACTCTTTGATTCGAATACTATTTACAGATTTACTTGTAGTTACAATCTCAAAGTTATATATTATTGTTTTTGTCCATACAGATCTCTTAGTAATAAGCAGAAAGATCCCTTTGCTCAACTAGATGAAGTCCCTCTCTTAAGTTATATTTGATTCCTTTCTTAATTTTAATCAGTAACATAACAATAATTTAAGAAAAGTGTATCATAAAATATGTAAAAAACATTCAATCTTATTCTTTACAATGTATAACACAAACAAGGATAAGTGGCATAATGGAAGAGAATTGAGTATCCGTGTGCAATTTGGAGGTGTATTTATCACCTGGTATGCTTTATGGAGTTTTTGGTCTTAAACAGAAGTGATTGGAGATAAATCCAAAGGACAGCTAAATCCTGTCCTTTGACAGGCAAAGGAGAGTTAAGGAAAGGGGACAAAAGAGAGAGAGAGAAGTAGAGTTAAAGTCTGCCTTTAACTATGTGTATTTATACAAGTATGAAGCTAATATTTACAAGTACTAGATGAACTAATGCTGTCTTTACTCTTGTTATGATGTGTAATGTAATGAGGTGATGACAGCTTAAGCAGCAGCACTATTCATTGCCATCAGAAGTATACAATTTCCCACATTCCATGGATAGTTATCAAAATACAGCTATACAAAAGTTATTTTAATTGTAATATTGGTATTCTACAGTTATATCAATCAGAAGAAATGGTTAATGATTCTGTATAAGTCAGAAAATGTTCTAAGTCATGCATTAATGTAATATTGGTATTGTAAATTATGAACTTAATGCATGAAATTATATAGTACATATTTATGCTATTGTGATTTATTGTCTGCTAAATTAATAGCTAACTATGTCTTCAAATCATGTAATTATTTTGCATTTTGTTAATAGTACATTATGAAGAAATGCATAAATATATTGCAAACTGTAAGAAAATCTTGCACTAACCTCAATCTTTCTCAGAGTCATGCTGTGATTCAAAATTTTCCACACAAAATGGAACCATCTTGTCAGTTCATAACTCCACTATACAGAGATATCTAACAATTTCATTAAGAGAACAGCAAATAAACTAAAATTTAAAAGAATTTAACAATATTTATCCTGTTCTTAGCTAATCAGCATGTGGGATATATCAAAAAATATTGCCACTTAAACTGTAAATGGCACATATAAATGCTCATCAATAAAAAAATAAGTATCAAAACTTTTATATCTATATCATAACTTAAAACAATTAATTCAATAACAAACAGCAAAACCAGAATAAATATTTAAGAAGACAAAGATCATTTGAATGAAACAATATCACATGTTAATAAAAGGAAATATGAAGAGCAGCTCAGTACAAAGGAGTCCAAAATTCCAAGATTATAAAATTATAAGAATGGTTAAGCCAATACATGTAGCCATACATTATTTGTGACTCCATCACTTTATAAGGACTATATAGCCTATAAAACCAGTCTGGAATAGCATATATATATATACATACAGTATATATATATATCAGTTAACTGACTTTTGGATCACTCGGTACATCATAGTTTAAATATTACATCATTAAAAATGATCAAAATCAACTGGAATTGCAAGTAATTAAAATGAGATTGTAAATCTCTTATTTTGATCACACTAAAATGACACTAGTTCTACAAAATAATGACTATCAATTATGTTCTCTTATCATCATTAACTACTTTTGTGTGCATTTCTTTACATTAGCTATGAAAAGATATTAAAAGTAGAGAAAAGTGTGTCACAAAATAGCTTCAATGCTATTTTCGTCAATTACAGGAATGTGGCGTGCAAAATATTTGATTGTCAATTATGTTTTTTTTATAGAAAAATAAAACTGCAAACCCAATTAAGTGGCAAATGACAAGTCAAGATGTAAAATGACCAGCCAAGTGAACAAACATGCCATCAATGCCTCATTCAATTTGTTAAAACAATGATGGAATAGGGACGAAGATCACTCACCTATAAGAGGATCTTCCATTGAAAAATATCAACCTTGTTGAAACTGAAATATAATTTTAGCACATGTTTTGAGTCAACCAAACTATATATAATGCACATTTCTGTTATTAAAACTGTTAATTTGTGTTCTTGAATCTAGATTGTTATTACTAGTACAACAAGGGTAGCAATAAAAAGTACTTCATTACAATTACTGCACTACATTGTTAGCTGAACAGCATGCAAAATTGTTTATTTATGAATAATTATTCTGTCATAATTCTGAGTAAAGCAGGTAAATTTTTCAATGTGGATGCCAATGGTTTTCACAGTTAGAATAAGCTTATAACTTAGAAATGCATTGTGGATGTGTAATTTAGGTTTGTTTCTACAAAAATAAAAGAATAAATGTCAACAGATGGGAAACGCTGACCAGAATATGATATACTGAAGATTTTGAAGAAACAAAACCCAAACAAGAATATTCTACTTCAGATATATTAAAATCTGATGATACATCAGTAATTATCACTCACATTTTGTTGAAAATTAAGAAAAATATAATAAAAAAAATTATTTTTGGGCCTATTGTTCACTTAGAGAAACCATCTACAAATATTGCGGAATTTTTATCTAAAGTTTACTAAATAGGATGATCCGAAAAAGTACTAAACTAACGTGAAACCACCCTGTATTTTATTATTCTTTTATAAAAAAATAGAGAATGGTAAGTTTTTATTTGATAGTATTTTAGAATTTATCAAATTAATTCAATTTTGTTCAGCAGAATTCTAGAAATGAAATGAAACTTTACCATTTAGATACAGTTTTAAATATTCCATCATCTGCTTGATGGAAATGAATTGTTTAGAAGCTTTCCCTAGCTACACTGCCACTTTTATGTGCCATTATATGCAAAATTAAAGCAATCTGATTTGCTATCTCTGTGCTAACCACAAAAAGACATAGTTAAAAATTATGATTATGCTTAACACAAGTTAATTTCTTACTACTTTATAAGCTAAATTTATTTAAAATATGCTTTTATTTTGAATAATTTCAAAGCACATGGTACAAAGGAGGCAAGCAATTATATGCTGCGAGTCAAATGCTCAGAATAAAAATATATTTCTGAAGAAGTTCAAATTTTGTAGAGTTATTAATTAAATACGAGAAACCCTGAATGAATTTTTATATAATTAAATATGAAAAATCAGAAAGTTAAGAGGTCAAATTTCTTAAGATATTGTTTTCAGTGTTTACAGATTCTGTATGTATGGGTTTGGGTTCAGAATGTATCCAAATATAAAGCTGTATGCATAAAGTCTACCTGATAATAACACAATAAAAAGCTCCAAGGATATATATTGACTTCTTCAGTTTCAGATTTTTCATTTTCAGGTATTTTTCTTTATCTTTAGTATCTGTGATAAGAAAAATGTTTATAAAAATAAAGCTAGACTAATTGAACACATGACAGAAACTGGAATTATCTATATGGTTTATGCTATCTAGACAAAAAAATAAGTTTATAGATTTTCCTCCTGACAATATATACTGTACATTTAATGATTATTTTTTGTATTGACAGTCAGATGGACAAAATACTGTTAAAAAATCTCTGTCTAGAGTATCAATTTAGCTTTGATAATCACATTTAAGTGACATAAATGCCATTTTGAAATTAATTGTAAGAGATTTGATAGTCAATTATATGGAATTCATTTTGTTTACATCCAAGTTTTGCATGCGGATACTCAACTAGATACTCAATAAAATATTTGATGTTTAGATTATTTTGCATAGATTTGAGCTTTTATCAAAAATCAATCTGACAAACAACAGATCCAAACAATAGACTTCCGTTAATAAAATATTACAGAACCATAACAATATATTAGATTGTCAAGAACTATTGAAAGTGGAAATGTTGATTATAGTTGTGTGATTTTGCTTTGTAAGGCGGCCACCGACAGACAGGACAACAGTGATTATTTCTCGATAGCCAGAGCATGATGCAGTTCAAGTGATAGTTGTGCCCGCATGGCAGACCGCACAGAGATTCTCCGTACTTGTAGTTCTCCAAGCAGATTGAACACTCTCGGCATTCTATCATCCCTTTCGGGGCGCGAGACGTTTCGGATTCTTTAGACAAAGTATCTTCTTTGATTTCTATTCTCTTTATGTTAGATAATTTATTACAGGAACACATTTTTGATGCTTTCCACGAATGTTCCACGTCATCACTACACGTGGCCATCAAATTTGGTTTGTTGCAATTTTTTATCGCACAGTCCTGACTAGATTTATTTGAATACATTTGTTTTCTAAATTTACAATCACAAATTTTGCTATTATTAGCTTTAGATTGATTGCCAGATGTGGAATTTGTTTCTTTTGGAATTCTTTCTTTGGCTACTGGAATTTCTTGAGATTGTGCAAATGACGTACTTTCATCATCGCTAGAACTCCACGATGGTGATTCAAACCAACCCTTCTCCTGGGCTTCTTTGTCATCTGCATCACACCATCCATGGTAATTCCAAATAGGAAGATCATTAATATAATCAGTCGGTATTACCGGTTGTAGCCAGAAGTTAGGAACGGCTAATCTTTCGATTAATAGTTCCATACCTTCTTCCAAATCGAGATCTTGCGGTGCCATCGGTCTAGTAAGGGTAGCCATTGGACGGAAGAAATAATTCATGATGTCACTCTCCCACGAAACTGTCCACCAATTAGAAAAGAAAGGGATGTCATCTATTTCTGGCTCTCGTCCCCATTTTTTCCAGAAAATGCTAACAAGTATACCGTAAATGAAAAATGATATTATACAAAGAGGAAAATTAGTTATCAGCCTCCAGTCATTTCTTATAATGACAAAAATAAACGTATCACTTATTAAGCGAGTAAATTTTAAACAAAAAGATGTGATTACTTCCATGAAAGAAAACTGGTACAAAGTGACAATAAATAACCAAAATAAAAACAGAATGGAATTATACTTCACAAGATTGATTATACAACGAATTAAATGCTTCCATAATTTTCCACTTATTAAAAATATATCAAATCCAACAAAAACATTGACTAGCAACAAACTCGATAAAAATATATCATTCATCTCGGGACTGTAAAATTTTAGAAACAGTTCCATGCTTTTAAAATTTAAGTTTTCACCTGGTCTATAACCATAATATATCTTCTTTTCTGGAGTAATGACAACATACTTAGGAAATTTAGAAATTCCGGTCAATTTTGCATAACGGTGGCCTTCGTCATCACTAGCAACTGGAACGATTCCAAATTTGACACGGCCATTGAATTTTATAGCAAGTGCTGAAATAAACAGAGGCGGTTCTAACAGAGTGGAGAATAATATAATACGTATTTTGGAGCTTTCCTCCGAGTTATAAATCAACCAGTCTTTCAGTTTCTTTGCAGATGTTATGCGTTTCACTCGTGATGAAAGCTGCTGCCACACCCAAGCCAAAATGGGCTGTAATTTTGTGGGATAAAGATAACTGTGCATAACAACATCTTCTTTTGCCTTTTGACCTCTGGGAAGAGCAAGAATTAAACGTGGAGAAGTCCATCCTTTGCGTAAACATAATCTGCGAAATGGAAAATATTTTCTTATATAACTTGTTGCCATAAGAGAATTATTCATGATTCTTTATAAAGATATGTATAAAATGCAAAATGATTGAAACTTGAATCTACTTAATACTATGTATCAAAGCCAAGACAGCACAAGAGAAATATAAATAATACTAATGCAATATTGCTGCTGCTTCCTTGCAGGATTTTAATTATATATAATAATGTTCAAGATGTATATATTTCTATTGTACTGACTTGATATGAAATTATATTTTCTGTTCGTTATGTTTTTTATTGAATGTTTAGTTAATATACAGGGTGACCAAACGAAAAATTTACTTGTAAGCTCAGCTAGCTCATGGCATTGCAAGTATACTCAACAATACCATTACCTGTTGCTGCCTTGCTATTTATTGTGAGAGACTTTATATCTTGAATATTTATACTTATTATTGAGTTCAAGTCAATAGTAAGTATAAATGAAACTCTAAATAAATAAAAAATATAGTATATGATGAGTGGATCGGACACTCATAACACCTGGCTTTATCAAGTCTACATTTTAAAATTAAACTTTTCACTCAATTGCTCAGTATTATAAAATTACAGTTTAAATATTAATGTGTTATGAGGTTTAGATTATTTAAGGAATATTGTGAATTCTGTATTATGTTAACTTATATTTCTATAAATTTAAAATTCATTTATTTAACCCACCTCTTATCGAGAGTACACCTGAAAATTCCCGTTCTCATCCCAAACCGATTTACTTTGGAAACAACTTGCTGCCAGGTAACGTCATCCAATAAAGGTTTACTTCCATCTGCTGGAATCACTTGTACCAACCAAACACTATCCTTTGTGTCTTCGACTTCTTCATAGAAATGCTCTCCGCAACTAAACTGAGTGGTCTGAGGCGTGGCAGAAGAACCGGAGATTATTTTGTCAGAATCTTCTATGACTGCTTCATCCAATTCACTTTTGGTTAATTCTCCTAAAAATGCAAACTCAGGTTTAATAAAAATAAACACAATGATAAAATCAAGTACTTTAGTTGCTTTTAGTATCAATGTCTTCAAGAAAACAGCTGTTAAAGAATTATATTTACAATTAAAATAATTAAAGGATTCAAACAATTTGAAAGATATTACCTTTACATTATTAAAAACAAACTCAGACGATATATTCATTTAAAATTTGTCTGTATAAGGAACATGCCTTCATATTCTCCCTTCAGAGTAGACCTTTATTTTGAAACTCTTTTTCATCTCAAAATAAAGGTCCTACTTACATTATAGAATTATAAATCAATTTTAAATCATAATTATTTGATTATTCAAATCTGCAGGTTCAAAACCATTGACATATAAAATTTGGTTTCGTTTGGACTGCATGTATCCCACCAGATAGCACTGAATAGAACTACTTTAATTACGATCATTCCGTATATCTAGTTACATCACTGTTATAGATCCTGCATTTTAAACTTTAAAATATATGCTAAAAAACAGAATTTAAGAAACAAATTAAATTCCTCACCCGAGGCATCCACCAGAGTGGTCAGTTCCTGTTTTTCGACGACTCCCGCATAACTCACGCCTCGACTATCCAATAATTGCTTCAGTTTTCTCACACTGAGTGAGAAGGGATCGAGAACAGTCCTCGTTGGAAAAAACAGTCTTCCACCGTGATACCAAGACGCCGCCTCCAGCAGTCGAGTCAGAAAGAACAGCAGTAGCAGGTAAAGAGATAACAATAATATCTTCACCCACATGGTGCCCTATTATAGTGTGTTTAAAATGAATCTTTTTTAATACATCAAATAATAATCATTATAAAAATTAAGAATATATTTAAATTATTGTAAAATTTTTTAAAATAAAAAAATTTTTCAAGGATTTTCATCTCATCTGTATTTCTAGATGGTTGAAAGTTAACAGTAGAAGTACAGCCAAGCAAGAAAAACTTGAAAGTGAAAGGTCAACAACAGATGAAAGCAAGTTTTACAAGATTTTTCTATGTATCTTCTAATAACTTTTGTATTAATATGTATGAAAACTAATTATATTTTATACTATATACACATAAAACATTCATTCCTCCAATTTTATCTTTTGCACTTCAAAAAGTACATAGTAATTACAGTAGTTTCAAACTTATCAGGATAATTAAAAATATAAAAATTTTTATATTTGTAACACTTCATATGTATTTAATTAACAACTGATGTCATGCCTAAAATTGAGCTTCCTTTAACTTAGAAGCTGATCTGATTTAAATCTTGTCTTTAAACTATATTGCATTTGTGAAGGCAAACAGGATCTGGTACTACTATTTCATTGGCTGTGCATCAGCACAGCCAATAAATAGTACCAGATCCTGGGTCAAAGATAAGAATGAGGCAATATTAAGTCGTATTACACAATCAAAACAATTCATGATATCACAAGTTAACTTTCTACATTCTAATATTCAACACTTCTTGTTGGGTAGTGCTTGCAGCCAATGTGAAGAAAAACTAGTTCATTGTCAATTAGAGTTGAACTCATGCATAGTTTAGAGGAAGTTTTCCAAATAAATGGAACAGTGAGCCGACGGTGATGGCCAGAATGGCTACAAAAAGCAACTGTGTAAACATAGTTTAAGTTTACATGATGAAAGCGAAACACATAACTTATTATATGTACTGCATATAGACACTGTTAACTAAAGCTGGAGACTATAATATTTCTTAAGGAGCATAGCCACCTCACAGGACTATACCATGTTTAAAGTCTGAATCTATTTAAGAGAAATAATAGTTTCAATTAATTTTTATTATAGATCGTCTGTTCTTGACCATAAAGATCATATGCCGACAACATTATATATTCAAGAGGAAATTAGACATTTGAGGAAAGTTATTAAATACATTCTACAAATAAGATAATACCCAAATTGTCAAATAAATTTAAACAAATGGGTTTGATTAATGACAATGATGATTCGAATGTTTGTGTAACTCAGAGCACGGAATAAATGCAGCATAAAATACTAAATGGAAGAACTACACATATCAATTTGTACTGTGTCACATATAATCATATGACACTGTGACATTTTGACATCACATTTGAGAATCTTAGTCTTAAATATTTGATAAATTTGTACATTCAGCAGAATTATCTCTTATTTCTCCAACACAGATAAGAACTCATGTAAACATCCTTTATATATGTATATAAATGTGTAGACTATTTTTTAAGATAATGTTTATCTATGTGTGTCTGTGCATGTGTCTGCAATAAAGACAAACCTTATCTTTTAAGATAAAGCCAAAATAACAAAATTAAAAAGAGAATTATCTTTACCTTTAATTTGATATGTTTCTTTAAACAATCACAAAACGATAAAAATAAATGGTGGATGTTATTGTGCCATTGTCTTTTATATAATCATTGAGGAAATGGAACAATCCATTATTGAGGGTAGCAATTAAAATATAGCTATCTATATCACTGGATTTGAAAAAATAAAATTACAAATTATGATAAAGAAGTGAGTAATTTAAGAGCATTTATATTACCTTGACGATAGGAAAAATGACAAACTAGTTTATTGTCAAATTAATGTAAACAAAAGCTCAGAAACATTTCCCCTATTCTTCCATAGAACAATCTGTGTAACAATGAAATGAAGAATGAAAGTTTTAATATAAACACTCAAGTTGAAACAAAATATTTTGCTTCTAAATGTCATTCATTAATAAAGTACAGGATTAAAAAAACAGCATTTAATCTGTTACAGAGTGGTATTTTCATCATCATAAGACTTTGTAAAAACATGGAAAAAATATAACAAGTGATATAATGATTGTGAATTTGGGAAAAAACCCACAATGGAACAGTATTTAGCAACATAAACTAAAAGATAAGTGATGCCATTCCAATTAATGGAGTAACCTTTCAATTTATAATTTAATTAGATTATTTTATCAGTTCTCTCACAAGAGATAAAAGAAAAAGATAGAAATATATGTTAATTTTTATCTTTTGTAAGTAATTGGAATGTAAAAAACAAGTGAAAACTGGGTTGGAAGTAGAAAGTATTACAGAAACTTTAAAGCTTGACCATTACAATTTAGTCATACTTATGAATTTTGGGAGAAATTTATTATCAAATTTTATAATTTTTGGTTTTTAAAGATATAAACGAGAGTTCTTATTGAGTAATAATTATTTTGCAGTAGTGTGACTGCTTTACTGTGTGAAATCGAATGCAAACCCATATGCATCAATAGCGTTCTATTTATAGTAAGGACAAATTCAATGACTGAAAACATAATAATGAAATTATAAAATAAAAATGATCTTCTTTCTAAACACTAAAACACTAATGGGATAAAATTGTAAATTTCCTGTTTATAAACTAACATTTTTTGTTACTATTCGTCCCTTAACAATACATCTACTCTTTACAGTTTTTATTGCAATTAATAAAAAGTCACCAGTAATATTTAAACTGTATAAATTTTTAATAAAAATACATAACGTAAAAGTACTTTTGACTAAATTAAATAGAATTCTTTGGCTAACAAGTTAGAACGCAGTGAATATGTTCTGAGAGAATGTTCTAAGCGAGCAGTTGACACACTATCAAGGTTAATGTTAGGTTGGTTAATAATAGGTGAATTAAGAATACTATTAATACAGCAGTTTCATATAATAAGAGTTTTACAAAAATCTATCACTAAGGGCAATAAAACTGGAAGACGGAATGGAAGATGACAGTGATGGAAATGTAGATATATAAAACCACATAATGATACCAATGATGATTCAGTTCTCCCGAATCGACATCTGAATGCATTTCAGTCATTAGCTAGACGAAAAGCTGTTGACAATTATTCTAAAGGTGGCTCCACACATTTGATATTCATTGAATGCCAAACAAACATTTGGCCAATACTGAGTAGAGTGGATGATTTATTTATGACTAATATTCAATATTTGCCATTTTCCACTCTTGGCTGGTATATTGTGCCAAATCAAAAGGAATGAATAGGCAATTATTCGGCAATCGGCAGATACAGAATGTATGAAACTGCCTTAACGTAAATGATACTTTGGACGATCAAACTCTGGCAATTTATTAAGCTTCAAAAATGATCATAAAGAAACTTAGTGTTGGCATAATTTTCATGGACTTAAAATAACAAAAAGTAGAATTGCTTAATGATATCTTTTTGCATTTAAAACAGCATTAATGTTAAATTCCTGGTTAATTATCNCATACATTTAAATATATATTGTAGAAAGGCCTTAAAAGAGAGACTAACAGGGTTTTTAGTGAAATTTTATAATTTAAAAAAAAGATAATTTTAAAGTTTGTTTTAACGTACTGACAGTCTGAAGAAAGTAAGTGTCCTGCACTTCTCTCACCTATTAGAGGTCCTCCTGCGCAATACATTTATATAGTTATTACAATCATTAGATATTGAAAACATTTAAGGAAATAAAGAATATTGAATTAAATATTTAAATGTTTCATTATTTTAACACATTTCAACGTTAACATCTAGGTGCTATCAGTATTGACAGAATGGTAACACCTATTGGTAACGGTCAATTCACTGTTTATGTGCATGAATATTTTCGAACTGGCTAGACAGGTTTCGATGAAATTTGATACGAAGGAAGTGGCAAAAACTTATCAATTCAAGTTTAGATCATTCATTTCAATTAGGACCCATGAATATAAAAAGAAGTCTTGGTGATTAAATGTGCGTGCTACTTCGCTTCGGTTGTTAAATAGATTAACTTCTTTATCTATCATAGAATTCAATGACGTATAGAATTATCTTTAATTTAATTATACTTTTTAGATTTTAACTGTTATATCATCGAGGAAGTTAAAGAATTTTGCGAAAAGGAATTAAAAATTGTATATTTTTGGTGTAGATTGTTTATTTGTATATATTGGCGATTTAAAGGAAAATAACCTGCTTTGATGAAGAAACCAACAACTTAAACAGTTAAATAATTTCAAACTCGAGATTTTTCTTCATTTATTCAATTCTTCAAAACTAAATTACTGTACATCGTAGTTACTTAGCATTTAATCTAGATGTTTTTTACAAGCGTCGCGTAGGCCTATACTTGTCGATACTCGATCTTGTTATTCGGAATCCAATATTATTTAGGACCTTGTATTGTATCAAGTATCGCTTGATATATATCCTAATCTTATATATATATATATTACGCGATACTTGATATAATACAAGGCCCTCTTATATAATCTTATGTAAGAGGAGCCTCACAAGTTAACGCTTGCCTAGATCCTCCCATAATTTAAGCTATAACCACTAAAGTTTGTCCAAGAAACATAATAGGGTAGATCTGTAGATGATATATTTTATTTTTATTTAAATATAAGTTACTGTATGTATTTTCAATATTTTTACCTCGTCTAATCAAACTCAATATGCAATGTTTAACGTATACATATTTGGATTGGATTGAACTATATAGATTGGATTTGTTCCACCATGCAACATTTGATCACTTTCTGTGAAGCCTGACTAAAAAATAATTTAATCAGTGTAAAGAAAGATGGAAGCCCGGTGGCTGCGAAATGAGGATCTGTTTTATTTCTATGAGTTCCGGAGTACGAGAGATTCGAACCCGGATTTTTCAAGGACATTTTGGATGGGGAATTCGTTTTTTATTCTTCATCTATGCTGAATTTTTATATTTCCTTTAGTCTTCTGAGTCTTAAGATAACAATTTCGGATTGGCCGAATTTGCTATACATTCGTAAGCATGAAATATATTCGTATACAGGATCAAGCCTCTTCTTCTAAACTATTCATGGATATAAGTCAAACTTTCTCGCACAGGGACTACAGAGCCATTTAACCCGGGCCTCACATTTACGAGAACTTGAAAAATATTTTTTACAAATTAATTATTTCATTCCATTCCTTTTTATAATAAAAAAAATTTCCTTTAATTTTGCAACCAAAACTTATTATTTAAAAACTGTAATGCCTTTTGCCTTTTTAATATATTGAAAGGCTTTAAAGGGTAAATGACCAAGGCTTCTTTCTATATCTGATTCTGAAAGATACTGAACATAAATGAGGCTTCGGAAGAGTTTGGGTACGCGTTGAACTATTCATTAAGTCGACAATAGTAGTTATTGTCGACTTAATGAGTATCTTGTGAAGGCCACTTAAGGGGCCCTCACAAGATACCGTAAGTGTAAGAAATACCATGAAATATCTTTGCTTGCAAAAGATTCTATGAATTGATACGTGAAAAAAAGCTTAGTTGAGTTTTCTGTTTTATAGGACAGACATTCATAATTCAATTTGGAACCATTTATCATTTATTATTAGAATTCTGACCATATCTTCGAGACTGAATCTTATTTCAGCTTTGTTTTTGTTAATGAATATAACCGATGCAAAATAAAAAATATTCGAATTGTCACTATAAAAATTATGAAATTCAAGACTGGTCTGTATACAATTTAAAAGTCCAGCAACGAGTTGCTTAACTTTTCCGGCAACATTTAAAACTGCGTGTATAGTGCCATATGATGTATTTTATTAAAAAACTTTTTATATTTTTACTATAAAATGGCAAAAGCTTAATTTTGAGGGTAGGGATGAATTTTATAAAAAACTGCAAATGCTAATAATGAGTAAACTTGTCATTAAGTCCAACCTTATTCAAGATATGCCCACATCCCCTCTATCTCTCCACTCTCTTGACCTTTAACCACCAAAATTTAATAGCATCAATCCCCCTAATAAACAAACCTCCATGCAGAATTTCAGAAATTTTCGACAAAAAGCTCATGTAAAATAAATATACTTAAGTGTTGTAGTAGCGTTACTGTTTGATGCCACAACACTTAAGTGTATTTATTTTATATAGTTAAATGTAGGCATGAAGTGTAATTCATTTTATTAAAAAGCTCATGAGTTAGTAAGCTTCAAAGAGGGTGAACAAAATTGTGCTCCTCAAATACACACTAACATCCATACATGCTTTGAAACATGTGTTTAATGTTATTAAGCCCCTAAAAGAGACTTTGACATCAAGTTTTAACTATTAAATGGTAAATACATTTTTAATCTTTAAAAGATTCCACAACTAAGATATAAACTGTTTACTTTAAAGTTCATCTAAAATTATGGCTGGTCTGCTTTGGATTTTCTTGCCATAAATAATTAAGTAAAAGCAATACAGTACCATCTTTATGTCCAAAAGCATCATCCAAATTTAATGCTAACAAATATAAGCAGGGCCAATTTATAAAATGAAATACACCACATTAATGTTATTGGTAAATAGATATCAGTGTTTTGGATGCGAGATGAATGAATAAATAGAATGCCATTTATAACACTGTCCTGAAGATGACATTTTGTAATGTTGAAAATGTCTGAATGAAATATGTACATTTATACAGTGATACCTCGGTTTTTGTCGATAATCTGTCCGAAAATAATCGGCAAAATCTGAAATTGACGAAAACTAAGACAATCATTTCCATATGAATCAAGGTAAATCCAATTAATT